AGTGTAGTATTGCCCCTGTACATCATACTTTTCCTGTTAGTAATAGAGTCGTGCCGGTTGTGTATCGAACTCCGTTCGGGGGAAAATATTTGTATTGAAATAACGTGATTTGCAGTACAAATCGGAAGTTTGTGTTTAGGTAATCTGGTCCTTTTCTCTTGCGATTTCCATTTCTGGTCTTGAATTTCATTTATCTAACTCCATTCGCGAGATTAAGGTCAGAGACGGACGGACGGACGTTCTCAATTCTTTTAGTGGTGGTCTTTCCCCTGTACACCATACTTTTCCTGTTATCAATAAAGTCGTGTCTGTCATATATTTAACTCCGTTTGGGGATAAATTTTGAATCAAACCGGTTTAAACCCGAAGTTCATATATAGTTAATCTGGGCCTCCTGCCCCAAGTTTTCCTCATATGGTCTCGACTTTCATCTATCTAACTCCTTTCTCGAGATTAAGGAAGAACATATAGATAAGAGAAGACAGTAGGAATTTATAGGTCTACAATTTTATCAAATTGCAGCCCAATAATTTTTCTATAAACGCGATATTTACAAGAACATACTTCCCACGTAGTTTATACAATCTATGGCAAAATCTGTGTCAATATAAATACTTTATAAATGTAATTATTTTCGCATTTTTACAACTTTTCTTTTATTTAAACAAGTCATATGAAGTCGGATGTTAAGGTTAGCAACTTCGATCACACGCAGAATTATCTAACAAGGATCATTTTTCAAATATTAATAGTACACCGGTATTAATGAGTAGTCGTTGATCATCCTCTCTTTCGGGAGCAAGTTAACGACTACTTTTGGTCAAATTACTTCAACTCTCTTCCGTAACAGTCAAAGAAGAGACTGTTGCGGAATAGAATTCTATCGGACCAGCGATATAGTGGCATTTGAATAGGAAAATTACATAATAATCCATTACCGGCAAGAAAAAATATGTTTTAAGTGGTTTTTGAGGGTGCAGAGTTTAAATATTTTTCGCGAAATTTGGTTGGCCGATTCCCATTTGATATTCGGCTGTGAATAGTAGTTTCTTACAGTTGACATTAGGAAAAAATATGATATCTTAAAAAGTTTAAAATATATTTTCAATTGGTGTTTACTTGACCAATGAAATTGTGCCATTTCATACCATTCGAGTATCTCGTTAAACCTGACAATGGTAGGCTGAAATAATCAAACTCTTTATATGGTTTTCATTTTAATGTTTGTTATATTATAGTATTTGATTTATATAACTACAAAGGTTATCTTACGTAAGGATTTATCACGCCGAGTGACCAATCTAACAGATTTTTAAAATTATTTATTCCTCTATTGTACACAATTTAAAGAATTTTTTAAATGTGTTAGAGTGGCACTCGATGTGATAAACTCTTACGTAATAACCTTTGTAAGTTTAAATCAAATACTATAATATAATAAAGGTTAGAAGTACGAAATAACCTTAACGTCTGTTTTTATTTTTGCCCGGACAATACCTGCTAGTGTTCTTATATTTGAAAAATTTACATATTGCTGCGGCCTTCCTCATGATTTACACATGTTTCGTCTTGAATTTATTTACTTTATTGTGAAAATTTAAATGAAACTAATGCACAGCAAAGTCTATGTAGCCTATATTAATTAATATGCAATACTGAGAAAATGTTTTGTCTCTTTGATAGGAAACTGGAATAGAATTTTGTCTTGGTAGGTTTTTATCCGGTAGGATTCTACAATGACCCGAAAGATATATGTATTACGGATAAAGCCCGTGAATTGGATAAAGGTAAAATTACCTAGCTAATGCTAACTTTATTGAAGAAGTCTTTTGGATAACAATATATTAAATTTTGAACTTTATTTTGAACTTGTGACTTAGATAAAGCACGCTTTATCTAACAAATAAGTCACAACCGGATAAAGCTGACATTATCCAAAAAGATGGATGGATGAAAAAAAAAATAAAACTTACAATTCGGGCTTTATCTGAAAAGGAATTTTAGAATTTACTTTAGCCGAATAATTTGTGATCTTTCCAATAAAGACTGGATAAATAAAAAGAAATTTTGTTTTTTAAACCAACTAGAATTCATTTTCTGTCCATTGCATAAAAAATGAGATCATAATATAAAAATAATAGCTCACTGTGAAAATTTTTAATTAGTCAAACTTTATTTTCTCCGGAAAATATTATAATTGATCAAATTTTGACCTTTTGGGTTTTCTGCATTTCTTGACGTTTTAAAATTTCCTGATTCGAAAATTATAAAATAAGAGGAATAAAAAGATTCTTTTTTATAATAAGATTTTACTCTCGGTGGTGTTCTGGGAGGATGGACTTGAACCTAAAATTAAATTTGCGCGGCACACTGAAATTAAAATGATTAAAAAAATAGTAAAAAGAAAGATTGTATATATTTTTTTATAATTTATTTATTAATACAAAGCAATTTACTATAATTTCTAATAAATAGATAATAATTAAAATTTTTAAAGTCATTTATTTTTCGGTTTATTATAATTGTACATTTAATGAGATATCTGATCTGAGAAAAGCAATTAACATTAAGTCTCGATTTGCATTTAAAAGTGGCATGATAATTATCTTTATAAACCTGCCAATGTCCGGCTATTTCTAAGTTAAAATAATCTGAAATATGGACAATTATACATACATATTTGATTTAAATAAAAGTTAATTTTAAATGAAAACCCGATGTTATGTACATATAATTTTGCTTATGAATATATATTTTTTACCACAGTATGTGTAAACACACAGTAAATTTTGTCGTGACCCCTGGATAGACAGTAAACGTTTTTTTTAATCGACAACGTTGTTAAAGTGAAATTCTTTTTGGGATTTGCGCTTATGTTGTTAGAGGTCTGAATAAAACACATAATTTTATGAAACAATAGTTTTATTTATGCATTAGGGTATAAATATTTATTTAATGAAAAATACTTTAAAAAAAAACTTTACATCATAAGAATTCAATGTGAGATATGCGCTTGCAAAGAGCTCATAGTTGCTTCTATGTTCGGATTTGTATTAGAAATCGCAAGCCGTCAGTCATCCTCTATCTGTATACAGACAATTTTTTGTTGTTCAAAAATACAGTTCTATTTTTATAAATAATATAATTTCATTTCACTATTTTACTGGTACGTGATACCTGTTGAAAAAAGCCTTATATTTTTTTATTGTTAAATAAACTTCTTTGAATTTGGCGACCCTGAAAAATTTTCTCGCGACCCATTATTTGCGCACCACTATTCTAGAGCAACCCAGTCACATAGTATAAGTAAGCGATTGATAACCGAGCACTCTTTCTTATTATAGGCTAATTTAAAAAATATAATAAGAAACGAAATAATTAGTTATTATTTATTATTGGTTGAAATATTGAATTATTCATTAATAAAATGTAATTTTAGATTTGTTCTTTAAGACAAATTTTCGTAGTTTAAATTTGTTCCTAAAGTCTCTTTGGGATCCAACAGCCACATCACCCCCAAAAGTATGCCACAGTATATATTTTGCTTTATATTAATATCTCAAGATACTATGGACTAAATATTTTGAAATTTTACAAGTGGAATCAGACGTAATGAAAATTTTACTCGTTGTTGGCATTCACAATTTTTTTTAACACACTCCTGTTCCACAAATAAGGCTTTTGCTTTATTTATTTTCTAACTTTTAGAAGTTATAATTGAAAATTCTCGGAGTTTCTGCTCTTAACCTCCTGTTTGAGTGCCGAGAAAGTGGTGCGACAGTCCTTGTCAGTTTTTTTTTAAAATAAAAACAATAGTAAACGCATCAATTGAATTATAATGGGATTTAACTACATGGTGCATTCAAGTTTTAAGGTCTCCCATTTTTTTTCTGACAAAATACTTACACAAACAAATTGAAACTTCTGTCACTTCTCAACATAATCTCCCTGCGGACGTACACATTTTTCACAATGTCCACTTCATGACATTATGGCCGCTGCGAACGCTTCTTTAGTGTCTGTTTTGACCACTGGAAAATCGCTGATGCTAGAGCGGCATAACTGGAAAATGTGCGACCACGGAGAGTGTCCTTTATCGTTGGAAAAAGCCAAAAATCGCTAGGAGCGAGGTCAGATAAGTAGGGAGCATGAGAAACCACTTCAAAGTTGTTTTCGTATTGATGAAACTCCTGTATTAACATCGCCCGATGAGTTGGATCATTGTCTTAAAAACGAAACCGAGTTCCGCGCATAGGTTTTTCTGTTTCGGCTTGACACGAAAGCGCAATAGTAGCGACATGCTTCGATTCTAACGTTTCATTTAAAGCAGTTTATATACATAAACTGCTTTAAATGGAACGAGCGAGTTGTCTGAAAGTCTAAGACTGTCCGTATTTCGTACCCGTTAAAACATATACATTGTTATCCTTTCTGTAAGTTTGTATTGTACTTCAAAAGAAGGACTTTCTACGGGCCAATTTCCCATAGAAAGTTCTCCTGGAAGGCATCCCATTTGGCAGATCGCCATTGTTACATTCTTATTATCATTATATTTTTTAACTCTTTCAGCCCTGTGGGCACTAAGAAGGTTTCTTTTAGTAAGCCCATTATGGATTTGGCCAGGCCCACAATCCCATTTTTGATATTGTTTATTTTGTTTTTGTAATAAGAAATTTTTACATCATAAACATTATTTAACTCCATTCTCTATAAATTAGTTCATTTTAAATGAATTTAATGTTCATAAATCATTTTCACAATATAATAAATTTTGTAAAACGTAATTAAAAAATTTTAAAATTAAATTTTAAAAATAAAAATCAGAAATAAAATCGTAAAATCAGATATTGGATTATTTATTTATTTTTAATTTTTTTTTATTAAAGTTTATATTTTTTAATTTAAACTTATTAAATATTTTTTTTTTAAAATTAATAATTAAATTTTAAAAAATTACGTTATTAATCAATTTTGATGACGTAATTAGGAATTATCCAATAGGCGTTTCCATTACATAATGCTAGTCTCGGACGAATAGAGTTAGAAGAAAGAGGATAGAAGACGGAGGTTGATCCAGGTTCGGCTGGAAGAGGTGGAGGAAGCGTATAGAATGGCCTTTCAGCATCAACCTGGCACCGCTATGGAATGCCTCAGTGTGAGTTTCTCCATGTTTACGTATGTATAATTAAAAAAAATGTGTAATCGCCTTCAAAATATTTAGAAAGATAATCTCGAATTATTTTAATTATTAGTTTTTCTGAATCACGTGTCAAAATTAATCAATTTCTCATACAAATGCATTTTATAATATGTTTATGTTTTTCTGTTATATTACAAAATTTCAGCCATTTCTATTTCTTTTCTACATTTTAAATATTAAACGATGGTAATAACTAAAATTTTTTCACGAGTTTCATAGTTAAATAATATTTCGTTGTTAAAGTGAAATTCTTTTTGGGATTTGCGCTTATGTTGTTAGAGGTCTGAATAAAACACATAATTTTATGAAACAATAGTTTTATTTATGCATTAGGGTATAAATATTTATTTAATGAAAAATACTTTAAAAAAAAACTTTACATCATAAGAATTCNATAATCGAAGTATATTCAATCTGTAAGAAATTATTCATTTATTCGCCTTATATATATATATTTTATAAAGAACAAACATGTCTTTTTTGAGAGAGATTTAGTAGATTTGTATATGTTTACAATTTAGGACAGGTGAGTTTATGAATTGGTTCAAGTAACAACTTCCTGTTTTGTTAAATATTTTATTCAGGTTGCTTCGTCTTTGATTTGTAATCGGTAGGCTCCTGTTGTCATTTATTTGTATAACTGATAAGAGTTTACTAATTACAAGTGAAAGATGAAACAGTTTAAATAGAATATTCTATGCAACAGGAAACTGTAACTATAAATCAGATTTATTGTCATTTAAATCAAGTGAGACAATTTAATTGGAATTATTATATTTTTATTATGTCAGTCAGAGTTTTTACCAATAAATGTTTTTGGTACAATTGTGTAGATTAAAACTGTTTTGTTTGCAGTTGAAGAAGGCTTCATTAAGACAATAACTGTTCTACTATGCATATGTAAAATAATCTGAAATATGGACAATTATACATACATATTTGATTTAAATAAAAGTTAATTTTAAATGAAAACCCGATGTTATGTACATATAATTTTGCTTATGAATATATATTTTTTACCACAGTATGTGTAAACACACAGTAAATTTTGTCGTGACCCCTGGATAGACAGTAAACGTTTTTTTTAATCGACAACGTTGTTAAAGTGAAATTCTTTTTGGGATTTGCGCTTATGTTGTTNACTTCTTCTAACCGACGCTCCACAGTGTACCCGAGGAAGGCCTATTAAGAAGGCCGAAAACGTTTGTACGCCAGTTAATAAGGCTAGAAATTAGTGAGAAAGGTTTTGTGCTGTTAGTCTGACAATAAGTGTGTTTATTGAAATAATATCTAGCTTTTAATGGAAATATGTTGGTATTTTTTTAAATAAATAGCTTAAATACAAAATACAGGATTTAATTCTAAATCCTAAAAATTTTTTAAGTTGACACATTAGTGCTTTTATTCATTATTACTCTTATTTTATAAAAAAAAAAAAAGTCTCACATATAAGCAACGACTACTGAAATATACTGAATCTTTGGTTTACAACAAGTAGATAAAATGGTTTGAATTATGAATATTGTATAAGTTATTCCAAATTCATTTCCAAAATTATTTTATGACAAGAAACCATTGGATTTGTGAACTGTCTTAGTTGGATCATTTTACAAAACTGCAGGAACTTTGTATTCAAATAATGTATTTGATTAACATCCTATGGATCAAGTCACACAATTTGCACTTTATATAAAGCAATCTGTTTTTATTTACTTGAAATTTTGTATAATTATCATCAGATCTAGATAGAATGCCAGATTCTGTATCTGTAAGAATAGAAGTGAGATTACAAATGAAATTTCTGTGTATGGTATATCCTTTCAAATTTTTTTCTGATGATGGATAAAATGCCTTTTTTTGTGATTTTGTAGTTACGGCAGACTTAATGCTTATCACAAGGCAGAGATTTTTTTTTTGACCTCTTTGAATATTTTTGCTATTTGAATCTCTTATTTTTACAAGGAGACATTCAAGCTTTCACATTCTGGATTTTGCTGAAATTTTAATGCATTTTAGTGTATTCCTTCCACTAATGCACAGTAACATAACTTGTGGCAAAGAGTAACAGTTTATAAGAAATTGTTGTTTAAACTTTTCCATGTGTGTTATGTATCAAATTATGTAAATGAACTGTAATGTGTTTGTGTGTATGAATTGTTCTGTTGAACCTGATGCCTTATTCACATCATGAGTTTGACCTGTTTGTTTCCAACATTTTTAACAGTTTTTCCTGAAGTGTGCAATCTAGTGAATTATTAGAAAATATATTTGGCCCAAAAATACTATTTTATAATGATTTTAATAATTACAAAATAGTATTTTTGGATCAAATAATTTTTCTAATAATTCACTAGATTCCTCACTTCAGAAAAAATTGTGAAAAAAGCAGGATGCATCCATGATGCGGTGCCTTGCTCACTTATCCATGCCTACTTGTTCATTTATAGAATTTGACACAGAAAAATTTAAACAATGATTCTTGTAAACTACTGCTCTTTGGCGTGAGTTATATTACCGAGCATTAGTGGAATGGGTGTACTAAAACATATTAACAATTTGGCAAAATTTGATGTTTCCCTTTGTTAGTTGATTCTGTATATATTACTTTGTCTGGTACTAGTCTTGCTTTTTTTTTATAATGGACAATTGTTAATGCTTTTTATTGAGGTCTTCAAGTGTTTTGTCTAACAATCTGCAATCTAATACAGAACATTTCATTTAATAATAGGTTCATATTTGTAAAGGTTAGCAGATTTACATAATTCCAGAATTATTCTAGACAAGCATCATCCAAATAAAAATAGTTTCTGTAAACAATTTAGAACAAGTATAAAGCAAAATATAATTTATCACTCTGAGAATTATTTATTTCATAAATGCCTCAATTTCTCAAAGGATCAAGATCAGTTTGGAGATTTGTATTTGCTGAAGATCACTTAATTTAAGTTTGTCATCTTATCTCCATATGCTTTATTATTTAATTTATTTTGATTATTTTGGTACAATGTGAATCTTATGCACTGGCATAAATAGAAGGCCAGAGACCCTTGGGTCCATCCTTTTGCAATGAAAAAGTAAATACAAATGCTAAATATGGAAAAAGTATAGATAATTTAATTATAAAGCTAACTATTGACTTATTAATTTATGTTTGTTAAAATTTATTATATAAATAAGTATTAAAAGTGAAAATTTATTAAAATGTATAGTGATTCATATTGAATTTTGACTTGGACCCCTTTATTCTGGGACTGGTTATGATACTGCTCTTGTGCTAATAAATCCAAATAATCTATTGTATTAAAACTTTGTATCTGTAACTGAATAAAGATTTTTCATGCTTTTATTGCAGAAAAAAATAGTTTAATGCTTTGACAAACCTTTCATTGTGATATGAAAGAAATATGAATGAAATTGTAATTATGTTAGCAACAAATTCTCAGCTAGTGGTTTGAAAAGTCCAAAATGTCTCAGATTTATTTTTTATATAGTTAGTAGCTGTTACTTTCTAGCATTTTTTTAAATTATGAAAACTATTTTTTTATTTCTGGAAAACACAAATCATTTGATGAAATTTTTTTACAACCCTAATATAAAAACGTAACTCTGAACAATGCCAGAAAGTAGTGTCTGAAAATGGTTTATTTCATAAGTAATTAAATGTTAAAAAAAAACTAGGAAGAATAAAAATTAGTAAGATAATAAAATTCAATAATTAAAAACTTCTTATGTGGACTCGACTGTAAATATAAAAATAAGTCGTCATAAGTATAACTAGACACTGTCAGTTAAGTAGTCAGTTTTCTGTAGTCCCAGTTGACTTACATAAGCATTAATGTTAAAAAACTTTGGTTTATTTGACACTGTTTCAGGGCTGTTTCACACTATGCCCGACTGGACCGACTTGTCCAATTCCAAGTTGTGTTGCCATTGCAACAGCCGTCGGCCGACTGACTGATCATTCTAGTTGGACAGATTTAAAAATTTAAATATTTGTAGTCAGGTCGGAGCAGTCGGTGAGCTACAGACAATGAGAGCTTCGAAACTATAACCAGTCAGACTTTGGATATATGAAAACTATCAAATCAATCATACATAACTTTACATTATATATACTTCTAATTTATTTAAATTTTCTCTTGTACCTTATTTCTTTCATAACTGCTTAAATTTTATATGGGAGCACAAATGACTTTAATATATATATTAAAATTATTGACATAATGAGAAAAGATGGTATTATTTAGACTTTTCGGAAGAATTTATAAATGAAGTAAGATAATTTCCGCAAAGTTTAACCAAGTAGATTACAAAAATATTTTTAAAAATTAGAAAAACTTAAAACGATTTCTAACACCTGTTTTGATTGGTCCTTATGAATCGACCACCGACATATAATCTTACTCAATGTGAATGCTTCTACTACTAGTCGGTCCGATTATAGGATTGGTCAGGCCATAGTATGAAACAGTCCTAACTCGTCACTACTGGATAAATCGATGTACTTTTTCTGTCCCACATTCATTTAGACGTTTGATAAGTCGACTCTCCTGCTGAAAAAAAAATGAGTTCACACCACCAGGTTAACATCACAGCAGAATCAGATTTTGTATTTTCTCACTTTTCATTCACATGTTATTTGCAGCAAGTATTTCACATTTCTGTTAGAATTGAGTATCCAAACCCTAACAACACTTATGCTGAAGGAAAAATACGAACTTGTATATGAATTTGAATGTAATAAAACTTCAAGATGAATTAGCAAAACAAGAAAACCTTCCAAGAACAACATTGGTGGGAATCCTGAAGAAAAAGAGGAAATTAAGAAACTTTTTCTTGGGTCATCGTCGTGGCTGTCTCAAATGCCAGAGAAAGTTGCCATATAAAGATGTTGAAGATGCTCTGGTATGTTGGCTAAGGCAAATTCGTTCGTCAAATCTTCTCGTTTCGGGGCTGATACTGAAACAAAAAGTGATGAAAATTGCTGAGGTATTTGGAGTAGAAACCAAACTAGTGCCAGTGATGGATGGTCAGAGAGATACATTGCTTGTACTGTATAAAGCACTATTGTATTTTCTTAATTGTAGTTTTGTGGTTTTTTCAACTTTGTTTTAGTTGTCATATCAAATAACTTGACACATTTTCACTTCCCCTTGGGGTGTTGACTTATGTGGACTTGACTGTACTTCCATTTAATTTTAACATGAACATCATTTCACAGGGGACAAAGCAACAAAATTCTGATAAGCAGAACTAAGCTAACAGAAAAAGCTATGGACTTTGTGAAACATTTTCAAGTAGAAAATTTCAATGCTAGTGCTGACTGACTTGAAAAGTTTAAATCAGAAACAACATTGTCTTCATGACAAACCAAAAGATGTGCTCACTGAGCACTGCAAAAAATGACGAAATCTTACACAAACTTCTTTCATTTTATGAAGAGTATAATGTGAGTATGATGTTTTTCACATTGATGAAGTAGGGCTCTTCTTAAAATGAACAAATAAGACTGTGATGTTTCAAAAGAATTGTTCAGGTGGGAAAATTAAATAAAGAATGTCTAACTGTGTTAGTTGGAACTTATGCTTATGGAACATAAAAACTACTTTTGTTGGTGTAAGAAATACAGAAATCCACATTGTTTTAAAAATGTGCAATCTTTCCCTGTACAAACTTTCATTATCTAACAATCTAATGAAACAATATCACGCAAACAGAAAGACCTGAATGACATTAGATTTGTTCAAATGGTACATTCAGAAGTTAGATGCAATATTTTATTCCAAGAAGTGGAAATTTTTATTGTTCATAGACAGTTTCACAGCTCATGGTAAACTATCCAATTTAAAGGCAATTAAGTTGTTTTCCTTCTGGCCAACACTACCTCAAAACTTCAGCCAGTGGATCAAGGAATTATTAAATGTATCAAATATTTGTACAAAAAAAGACTGGTGCAGAGGGCCATTAACAACATAAAAAAAGAGTTGGTAGTCATATTGATATCCTACAAGCAATTACAATGCTTTCCAGTGCATGAATAATGATGTTATTCAAATGACAATTGTTAATTGCTAAAAGTGAAAATATATACAGAAATCAGAGTTGCTGATTTTCTGGAGTCTCCACCCCCAAATGTCTATAGTTAGTCTGAGTATCTTATTCAAAAGATACTTGTTTTTTATGTAGTATGCAAACTTTCACATTTTTTTTTATAAAGGGGTTGCTGAAATATAAGCAATTAAAAAGTGTGAAAAAAATCACCAAAATAAAGCTGTTTTTCTTCTTTTCTTCATGCGACACTACAGACACTTCTAGAGAAAATACTACTGGATCTAGAAAGCTTGTTCTAAACTTTCTTGCTATCATTGAGGTGCTCACAAAACTTCTGGGTTAATAGATCAAAGTTTACAGTGTATAAAGCTATTTTACTTTTATGGCTTAATTTTATGGTAAGGATAAAATTGCATGGAAATGAATAATTTTCATTCAAAATGTTCTTCAGAATAACAAAAGCTCAAATTTATGCAATTGAAAACTTTTTATAACAGTTTTACTAATGGTGTATTCAAAGCATTCAGTCAGCAGCCATTACACCACTCACCACCAACTGAACTGTACAAGATGTCATTGTCCTAGGTCTTGATGTAATAATGCAATCATTAATAAAAACAAGCTTGATCAAGCCAATCTGATAGCATGCTCCACAAAAGTGAATCAAATATTAATTTTGTTTAAAATAAATTTTATAAATTCTTGGAATCAAGTAGTTGTTGCACATGCGTGTGGACATGCACAATAAAGGAATTGAATGGAACATAACACTTAGGTAATGAAAGTGAAGTCATTGCACATGCATGTGAACATCTGACAAACAGACAAAAGTCCTAACATAAACACTTCACTACTATAGTGGAGCATGCTAAAAGCAATTGATATCTAAACAAAAACATCTGAGATGTAAAAAAATTGCACCAAGTAAAGAATTATGACAATTTGGATGACAGTAAAATTTTGTTTCTTAGTAGCTTTTGTTTGGTAAAGATAAGCTTGAAATTTTGAAGAGGTACTTACAAGATTTTTGCCTGTATTAATGTTTTTTTTACATTTTGTATTAAAGGTCCAAGCTTATCTTTACCAAAGAAAAACTCCTAAGAAAAAATTTTACTGTCATTCAAATTATCATAATTTTTTAATTGGTACAATTTTGTTATATCTTCGATGTTTTTGTTTGGATTTTATATATGCAGACATACTCTGAGTTATGTCAACTTAGGTTCCAGACTGATGTTGTAAGTCAAGTAACTTGTTGGAAAAGGGCAATTCAAAATGTCTAAGTTTCTGAAACATTAAGTCAGATCTGTAACTCAGTTTGAGTTGGTTGTTTTGTATTGATACTGCTGTGATGGTATACATTTCGTGATGATTAAACACTTAGTTGTAGAATCATCATTTGCTGAGTAACGATGATTGTTATTAATGAATTAGATTATCATTGCAATGGCATTAGCATTATAATAATTTAAAATTTTTATTTGCTTTAATTATTACATGTAACAATGAAAAAATACAAAAATTATTTTTATTGTCAATATCGTATTTAAAAAACGAAAATGTACTTCATTAGGTGTTTCGCATTTTATTTGCTTTAATTATTGTATGTAACAATGAAAAAATACAAAAATTATTTTTATTGTCAATATCGTATTTAAAAAACGAAAATGTACTTCATTAGGTGAAAGGTGTTAGATCGGCACGACTCTATTGCTAAAGGAAAAGTATGATGTACAGGGGCAAGCCACTACTAATTTGAGGTGGAGAGCATATATTTTAGATGAAATAAATTCAAAATATGATTAAAAATTGCAGGCTGGTTTGTGACCATGTCACGATAAATAATTTCTCGTTTAAATTTAATATTGTTTTTATCGTTCCCAATTTTTCAATCTGATGCCTTATTAATGACACAATTTTAATGAACATTATTATTAGATATATTATGAATAAATTTATGTAATCATTTTTCTCATTTTAACTATGAAATAGGTTAAATATTTGGGTTATTTCCATATTTGTTCGTCTGAAAAAATAGATTCAACNTACTTCTAAATAGCAATGATAATTTAAAAAATTAAAAATAAATTCATATAAGATTAAGTTGAAAAATTCAACAATTTTGAAATAATTTACATCAAAGTAAGTAAGCTTTAGCAAAATATATTAATATGAATTTTTAAACTGACTCATATTTTAGATTCCAATTAAGCTTGCTAAAGAACCAGGATTAGATTCAGAAGGACGAGAAGTTCTAAAGTGTGGGTTTAAAATAGGTGGAGGAATTGACCAAGATTTTCGTAAAAGTCCTCAAGGTTATACAGATAATGTAAGAATTTTTTTTTAACTTTTAATTTAAATTTTATTATGAGAGATAATTATAATCTTTATATTGAAAAAAAAAAGTCAAATGAGACAAAATAAAATTAGACAAGGAAACTCTTTGAAAATTTTTTTTATTTACAAAACATTATGGAAACTTTCATAACTAATGCTTTGACATTTTAAAACTGGCCCAGTTTTATTTAATCAGTGAATGGGGCTAGTTTTACATGTGACATCCTTTATTTTGTATTTTGTGTTTATATATTTATACTGTATATATAAAGAATATTACCATTCAAAACACATTTGTATATATAATTGCATTTTCATTTTTTTCTGACAGAATAAAAAAATTATACAGATACAGTAAAATAAAATTTGATATATATAGTCAAACCTTAATAAAGTATCCTCCTAAATAGTGCCACTCTTGTTAAGTGCCAATGATTGATTTATGAATGAGTATTAAATGAAAAATTTTTCAGTATCTGTAAAATGCCAGATACATGAATTAGCATTGCAAATATATTGATACAAATTGAGTAACTTTCAAACTTGAGTACACGCTTCATTATTATAAATAATGAACAAATGGATTTGAAAAAAAAAAATTGAAGTTTGACTGTATGAAGTCAGAATTTTTTTTCTCTATTATAATTTTTTGTAGAAGAGAAAATATATATTTTAAATCTGTAAAAGCTATTTTTATTTGGATTTATGTATCTTTTTTCAATAGGATCACATTGGATGTTTATAAATTTATTAATTTGGAAGCTTTATTTAAAGTTTTTGGTATGCATTTCTATTTTGTTTATTGAAATATCTCTTCAGTCTATTCATATGTAACAAAGTACTGGTATAAGATTATAATTTAGACAGAAGGTTGTTGAAAATTTACATCAAAATATATTCTATTAAGTGTAAATTTCTACTGTAAATTGTAATTATGAATTTATGTATTTGATATGATTATATGTTTTAGACTTTGCCTTGCTGTGAATGAAGATATTCAATCTGTTTAAAAAGAACACAGAAGTTAGTGAATAATAAACAAATTCTGAGTTAAATGACTGCGAGAGATTTGCATCACATGACAAACTTAGCATTGATTTTGACATGTAGATTTTCGTCTTGTAACTTTCGTATTTGTTTTCACATTTTTACGAATATAGTGGTACCTTGTACTTTGAATTTAATTTATTACAGGAGGCTTCTTAGACTTCATTGCTTCCATACACTTCTCAGATGCCATAGTTAATAAGTAAGTTATACTGTATTGGGTTGAACAGAAAGTTTTTGCATATGTTCAAAAGATCTGCCATTGTTTAACATAGATGTGTGATTTAATTATAACAGTTGTGAAATTTAATGCATTATTGCTAATTGAGATGTATTCTTTGTTTAGAAGCTTATTTTAAACTTTTTACTTCATATTTTGTTTAATAAAATCATATTGAAATGTCTTCAGATAAAAAGCATATCATGCATATTAGACTTTGAATTTCAGAAAGGATATAATACCAAATAAACAGTAAACTTAAATATGGAAAATGTGGTTTAAAAAGTTCTATTTAGGATATTTTGAAGTAAAAATGATACAAAACATATGTGCTCAAAAGCTGTCAATGAAGAATTTCAGGAAGAAATTGTTAAAAAATCACATTATATATAATTAAACATACCAAAAATAAAGCAAAAAAGGTACTGAAGACATATGAGTACATTATGAGAGTGAAAGACAAGCTGTACACACAATAGATGGCATTTATGCAGTGAGCATATTTTTTTTATTATATGTGCAGGTCCAACTTTGAAGCATCATTTGAACTTTGAAACAAATTTTTGTCAAATTTAGCTGTTGTATAAAAAATGATGATATGATGATGGTGGTGTAAAATGTTCCCGTTTACTCGGTCTAAAAGAACACAGTACACACTTCCTTTCTAACAATAACAACACAATTACACTTTAATGTCTCCAAATCAACGAGTACTCTCTGGCACTCCACAATTGAGCAACACTCTGGCACCTGACAATTATTTGATAATTACAATACTGGTTCCTGACCAGCCACACAGCTATCCACTCTGGCTAGCTTCCTGGTCAGTCCTGACTCGACCCACACCCAAAGGGAAGCGCACAATTTCTCCCTCTCTAGGCGGACAATCTCTCCCACATTCTTAGGGATACTATTACCTCACCCACCTGACACGTGTGATAAAGCTGTGGACTGTCCATCAACACTTGCTGACATCCACACACCTGACACATGTTACAATTGAACTTAACATTAGCATTCAAAGTACAAGGTACTATGGTATAGACAAAAACAAGCTATGTATTTTATACCCTTACATTACAGATGTCTGATTATTATTATTTTTTTATTTATAAGAACACCATGCAGTTTCCATTAGAAATATTATATTCTATGTCAATTAGATATATTCTAAAAGGATTTGTTTCCATTAGATATATGCAATAAATGGGAAGTACAAATAACCAAAGAAACTATTTATACCTGCCAACTATCAAAATAAAACCATGAAAACTGAAAGCATTATAGAATGCAGACAAAATTTATTTGTAATTTTTAACTTTTTATAAGGATAGCTTGTGACTTAGTGTATGATTCAGTATAACTTTTCTAATTTCATAAAAAGTTTTTGCATTTATGCAAATATTTAAAAAAATCTATATGATTTTATATACCATATGATTTTTTTTACAGTAATAACAAAACTAAAAATTTGCTCCATCTAGTATAAATAAAAACAAGTAAACCAAATTGCATCAAAAAATTAACTACATACTATTTTCAGCAAATTTTTGTTCAAACAATAGTTCCTAATCAGAAATCTTCTGCAAAGTTCCTTAAAAAGATAAAAATATTAGACCAGCAAAAACAAAACTATGTTTCATTCTTGCTTGTCATAAAACTGCTAATACACTTTCTGGACTACACATGAAATATGCAAGGAAGCTTACGTCTCCTTGTGTGGTGTGTGTGTGTGTGTGTATATATATATATATACTGTCTACTACCTGGTGTATATGGTATCATCTTGATTTTGCCCTAACTTTTATAAATCCATTTTTATTGATATTTACAGAAAAGAAGCTAAGTTACAATTTGTTATTTATAACATAGGCATGCAATGCATATATTTCTTTCTATAAAACAATCCATTTAGTAGAATTTTCTGATTGACTAAATATGATTTAAATGTGATTTGTAAAAATTACTAAGAAAGCAATCAAAAATTCATTTATGTTGATTGATTCCTAGATATTTGTAAATACAAATTTAAAAAATTATTTTTAACTAAAGTAATTTTGAAGGAGAAAAAATGTAATTGAACACAACCAAATTTCACCATCAGTTGTGTAGATAAAAATTAATTAAAATTTCACATACTTTTATAAAACTTAGAACCAATTTAATAGTGTATTTTCTAGTAAACTTCATAATCTTATAATGTAAACTTTCAACAATGATATCTTATCTCTTCTATATAGCAGATATCTGTTATAGAAAATAAATTATTGTAGTAATAATGAAGATAAAAAGTTCCTCAGTTATTTTTGAGATTTGACAAAAAAAAGTTAACTCTAAAATTAAATTGAAGACAATCTTTTGAAAAAGGAAAAGGAATCACCATTTATTCATTTTTAATGTTCTGGAATACAAACTTTTGACAATCAACCTTTCATTGTAGGCTACTTGGCCATCAAAATTAAAATTTCCCTTAAAAGCAAAGAAAAATATCCTATTAAAAACACAAGTTTTAAAACCAGAACTGGCAATACCACTGACATCTTTCTTTTCCATCCTTACCACTTGGGGACAATAGACTGTGTCTTTGATTTAATTTTAAAATTAATTGCCATCTGATGAAATTCTACAAACTTAACGCTATTTATTTCATGAAACCTCACAAATTTGTTAATCAACCATCAAAATAAAGGGTGAGGTGGTACATTCATCTAAGGTGAACAGTGAACATCAGCTGCATGCACAGAACAATGGATAGATGGAAGATTGCAATGTGGCTATATATTTGTTTTGCCACTTTTGGTTTTAAGCAAAAGTGACAAAATGACTGGAAAATTTTCAAATTTTTTGATAAATTGCTGAGACAATGTATAGTACAAGAATATAAGTTTAGGATTAAAATAAAATTATAAACAATATATATAAATTTGGTTATTTATATATGTTCTGAATCAAAATAAACATGGATATTAGGTATATTTTTCATATATTCATGTTTAAAATTTTTTTCAGATCTCTTAATTATGAAAATTATTTCAAGAATGAATATGTAAGGATAAATCTTTGAAATATGGGAATAAGAATGTATGTAAAAATGTGACAAAATGACAATTTAAATCTGATTTTTCTTTAAATCAAAAAGTGCTTGCTAAATAATATCCTATTTATATGTATGTACTGTACATGTACATCTATTCAGGGATGGCTCTAGAAACAGCAAAGAAAGCATTTACTTGGGCAGCACATTCTAAAGACAGCATTTTGCAAAAATGATTCTAAAAAAACATAAATTATGAAACAGGAACAAATTACTTCATGTATACACATTAGAATGAAAAAGTAATAACTATTGAATGAGTTACCAATATTTGATCAGATTAACACTTCAGAATTTTACAGTACCATATTCAAATAGAACAACTGGACATGCTTACAAACTTTTACTCAGTTTTGTTCAAAAGTTTGTAAGCATGTGCAATTGTTCTATTTGAATCATCATAATATTAATATCAAATGTAGTAGGTCAGGAGATGGGTTTGTAAAATCCTGAAAAGTGCTTATTATGATAAAACAGTGATGACTTTTTCAATAGGTTGTTTTTCTAAAGATTCTACAGTTAAAATTTTAAAAACCCAACTTTTAAATAATTGTTTTGCATTTAAAATAATTGGAAAAAATTATATTTTTCTGAGCCAAATTTTTAACATTTAGGACAGCAAATAATTTTGTTTGCTTGAAGCAGCAAAAATCTAGAGCAATAAGTCAACAGAAGCAGTTCCTGCTTCTGTTGACTTATTGCCATTTCTGTGTCAGTATCAATTATTACTAACTTTAAAATTTTTATTTATAAACTACATTGATTACTGTGCTAGCAGATGTTCCTTGGAAATTGGATAAAGAATATTTTTTAAAATGTTATTACTTAACCATTAAAATTTAACAGATTGCTGTAAAATAAAAAAACTTGTATTTCTACAACAATGCAATCAAATCATGTTCCAGCAATGAAAATTGCATTATTTTTGTGTTGTTTTTTTCTTTTTGAGGAAATATTTTTATTTTATTTTGTTTATTTTCTTATATAACATGAGATCTCAAAAATTAATTTTTCTCCATCGAACAAACCTGAATTAAAAATAAAGTATAAGAATTTACTTTCATGAGATGACGTATATATAGAATGATTCAAAAGGTCTGAGACAAACTTTAATGTTAGGAACAAACTACAGTGGGTGATCGGTTAACGAACATAATCCGTTCCAAGACTCTGTTTGCTATCTGAATTGTTCGTTAACCGATTATCAATTTACCATAGGTTTTAATGGGAATTTAATTAATTTGTTCTGGAGACCCCCAAAATAAAAACTATTTACTTTCTTACTACTTTTATTTATATGTATAATAAAAATACATGCATACACAGTCTTGATTTTTATTAGTCATGTTTTTTCCGTTTGAAAGGGTTAAAGAATCTGTCTAACGTCGATTGCTTTTCTCTCTTCTTCAGGATTTTTCGTAAGTAATTAATAGCATTGCAATTGTAGAAATCCCCAAGCCTCAACCTGGTTTGGATGCCATTCTAAGACCGTTGTTCTGACATCCTTCCACTTCTTCAAAACATCTTTAATTAATAGCAGATACCGGCATTAATCCTCTTTTTTCAGAAGAAAACACATCTCGCCGAATTTCTTGGTGTTCTTCATTCAAGAGTTCGTGGCGTTCTTCTGTCGTCAGATCCGTTTCGGGTTCCATTATGAACTCTTCGATATTCTTTATTTCTCAGACGTAATTTTTGTTACTCCTTTAGCCGCTCGAGTCTTCTTGATTATACAGTATTTTTCTTAAATAAGATTGAACTACGGCCTACTGTAGACCCGTTTGTGCCATACTGCTCAGCAACATTAGGCATCTTCTGCCTACTCTCTACCTTTGCTATTATACTCTCACCTTTCGAAAAGAAAAACAGACGCAAAACTTAACGAGTGCCTACCCGACAGTCTCGCGAATACAAAAAAGAATTGTTTTGTCAGAAAAATAAAAGGCTAGAATTACGAGGGAGAGTTTCAAAGTTCAGAAGAATACTATCCGATCGGTATATACCGGCTTGAGCGTCAATATCAACGTCTCCCGCACTCTGAAAAGTTTCGAATTGTTGCCCGAAGACGAGGGAAGACCAATCGGTATTCATTATTTTATGTCGCTTCTTCTTGTGTTTGTTCTGGGGGTGTTCGTTATCCGATTGTGTGTTCGTTGTCCGAACATAAGAATCTTTCGCAAAAGTGTTCGTTATCCGATCACCCACTGTATTTTTATCTAGGAACATAACTGCAAACACCATCTGGAGTTGCTAGAAATATAGAAAGGAATACATGTAAGGTATACAATGTATTTATTAGAACACTCAGTGGTGTTAGCAGCTATATGTTCCTGGGTAAAAATGGTATGTTTTTATATTCCTGATCTAGCTTTAAAATTTGTTAAACTTTTTCAATCTCCCTGCATATTTCAGTCAGGAAATTTTGATTTCATTTAGAATATCAGAAAACACAAGATTAGATTTTCTGAATATTATTCTTTCATAGTTTTTTTAAAAAGGGAATAGACCATCCTTATACAGAATTACTGTATTTTTGTAATGCTTGTCATCTATATCTGATGTTTCAAACCAATTGAACTCCAAGTTCAGATTTAACACCTGTAAAACCTTTACCTAACTTGGCTATGAAAACATAATTTTCACTAACTTCATAACAGTTGAATTCTTATAGAACTTCCAGCACCAGCAAAGTTGCTCAAAGACAATTTGCTCTTAAGGCTGTATAGAATCCAAATTTGAACTCTCCCTCTCCAATAGTTCCTATTTTATCATCTTACCCCATTCTTATTATTATTATTATTTTTTTTTTTTCAGGTGGATTTCAATTAGTAATTAGTCAGCCAATTGGATTTCCAGGTAAATGGACTAAAAATTTGAGCTTGGCACATCAAAAATTCCATTTTGTGCTTCCTAACGATACACCAGTACACAATATACTCTATGGTAGTACTCTGATAATACAGAATATCAGTCTCATTGGTGAAATAGATAGGTTTTTGTGGGTGAGGAATTGATGATCATCAACAAAAAGTAATTATTGATTTTCCTTTGAGAATACACAATTTTTTTTAAATTTTGATCTAAGTGTGCCATTTACTGATGAATTCCAATTCTTAATTGACAAATCAATTGAATTTCAAAGAAAAAGGACTGAATAATTAATTCAGCATGCAAACTCCTAGATACATATTATGTGCTTGTTTGAATATACTTTAGTTTCAATGTTAATCTCATTGGTCAGATAGAAAGAAAGGTGTGTTGTGAGTTGGGAATAATGATTATTCAAAGCAGTTGTTGACATTTTTAACTGAAAAGATTGTTAATTTAATGAAAATTTTCATTGCATTTACTCAGTTGAGTCTCATAAAACTGGTTAATGGAATAGTAATAAAGAAAAGACCAATATTTTAAACCAGCAGAAAAATTATTTTATGGATGTGATTTTCTAATATAGTAAGTTCTCACTTAACATAAATAGGTTTTTGGAAACTGACATTAAGCAAAATACTATATAAAGAAATCAAGTTTACAATAGTCTAAATAATATAAACAAAATATAATTTGACTAATTGGATCGTGTTTGCAACTTTTAGCATTTTTCACCTCACAGAATTAATTTTCCTATTTATAAAGATAATTCAACAACAATAATTTTTAAATGATTACAAATGTACTGTATTTGTATATTTTCTCAACAACAATAAGTAAGAACTTGCTGTATGAATTATCTTCAGGTTTATATCATGAAATGAAACATTGATTCAGATAAATTATAACAAATTATGAATTTAAAAATTTGAACAATTAGAATATTCTAAGAATTCTAAAAGAAATAGTAGGTAAATATTGTTCAATACATACTAATAAAAATAAATAAATCAAAATGTAAATATATATAAATAAATGAACACTAAAGCAATAACATTAAAATTGTAAATATTTCATTTCAATCTTTTTTCTTTTATTATTGCATTTACTCAAACCAAGTCCAAATGCATACAGATTATATATTCTTTTTACACTAGATTTTATTCTTAATTTGCTCATGCTCTTTACTAATGTGAATATTACTTTTCTGCATTTGTTTTTCTATTGTTAAATTATTTCTAAATGATTCACAATAATTTTTCTTTATATTTTTATATTCATTTATATTAGAAATGAAGTATATACAATAAATAAGCCAAAATATTATATATTTTAATGATTATATATCAGTTTTTTAAATATTAAAGTTTTGAATCAATAATATCATATTTATGTTAACAACTATTTTATAATAATGTTTTTAAGTTTAGAAAGTATTTAGAAATTTCACAAAAATATCTTTATAATAAAAAATATATTTTTATTATAGGGTATTTATGTTACTGAGGTTACAGAAGATAGTCCAGCTGGAAAATGTGGCTTAAAAGTTCATGACAAAATTTTACAGGTAATTTAAAACTGCCTAAAAGTAAATTTTTAAGTTCAATTGTAATTGCTTGTCATTAATGAAGTTTAAGTTGAAAATTTCCATATTTTATTATTTATGGTAATTTACCTGCTGTATAATTGAAAAATATGTTTAATTAATTAATTAATTAATGTTTGAAACATGCTTTTTTGAAAATAAGTAAAATTATGATAAAAATATTTTTGTTAAATTAAAATTTGATAGATAACATTAGAAAAAAAAATGATGTCTTAAAAATGTAAAATATATTTTTAATTCCTGTCTACTTGACCAATGAAATTGTGCCATTTTGCACTGTCCGAGTATCACAATAAACATGACAATAGTAGGCTGAAATCATCAAACTCCTTATATGGTTTTCATGTTAATGTTTGTTGTTATTTTTTGTCCAAGTAATGCTGGGCTTATCTGCTAGTAATTAATAAATTTAGATTGTTCTGGAAGAAAAAATTCAACCCAGAGTGGGACTTGAACCTGCCAACTTCTGCTTATCATTTAGATGTGTTATCAGTTATATTACCTGGACCTCCAACCAAACTTCACTTTCAGAGCTATTAGTTCAACATTTCTCTTTGATGGAAATTTCATGGCAAACAATATATAACATTTCAAGAAAACCTGCAGAAAGAACAGGAACTGGTCAAAAGAGGAGAAAATGACTGAAATGAAAAAGAAACAATTGGCTTAAGAAGCTTTGGAAAAACTTGGACAAATGCTTAGAAAATTGTGAAGTAACTTCAAATTTCATATGGACATATTTGCCAGATTCTGAAGAATTGTCAGATGACTCTCAAGAAGTGAAAGTCTGCTCCAAAATACACAATGAAGCAACTTGCTACTGAAAAAACCCTTCTGTAGAAGTTTCCCGATGGAATGTCAAAGGTGTCAAACAATCTTATGTACAGTACAATGAATCTTGTTTTACTTTTGACAAAAGTGAATATGCTGGTAACATTCATTTCACCAAGGAAGAGCTAGATGTGGATCTTTGTCAAATTCAAATGACACTCCAAGTTTTCAATGAAGCTTCTGGTTTGGCTGGGAATCAGTCCAAAGGAACATTCATAGACCTTCATTGTCCTGTCATGGCTCTCTACCACTGAAGAAGTGTATGGCAATGAATCAATTCAATAGATGCTAGTACTCTTCCTAAAGAAATATTACTCTGATCCAAGTCTTGATCCAAGATGATATGTCTTTTGGTCAGACATCGTCTCTGTCCAATATGCTTATGATATAGTTGCCAAGTTGGACTATTACAGAATTTGATATATATATCATGAAGTCAACTGAGAAGTTTGAGAGATTTTATTTCAAAGCTGATTACTGCTGGAGGTTAATGTAATATGGCTGATCATGGTCTTGATCATTGAATGTTAAGCAAACTATCTGTAAGCAAAAAAACCATTATTTTAAACTAATGAATTTTAAACAATCTAGAAATTTGTGCATATTTTCAGAATACTTGCTCTTATTTCATTGAAATTTGAATGTTTATCCTTTTAAATTAGTGATAATGAATTTAATAATGAAGCACTAAAATTTTCAACTTAGAAGGAAGTTGTTCTCAGTATTGGATAGCATACTGAGAAATTTTTTCTTCTTAGTTGGAAATTTTTTTATACTGTTAAATGTATTGACTAAAAAACAATTACAATAATAATTGTTTATAACAGTAGTACATTATTTGCATAAAACATTATATTTAAGGATAAGGCATAGTCTGATTTTGAAATAAAGTTAAAAAAAAAGATAGTTACATTAATGTGTCTTAAAAGTATGTACAGTAGAATCTCATTTTAATGGATTTTCCCAGGTCCTTCCAAATCAATGTAATTTTATCTCCTTTTAACAGATTTGTAACTTGAAATAATGGATTTTTTTCTAGTTCAATCTATTGTAAGCATTGTGTTTTTCAACGTTCAATTAATATTTTGGTGTTCAATGATGCACTTGTTACATCTGGGATATGTACAATTGAAGAATTGTACAGTCAGAAAGCTGATATGATTGAAGAGGAGCCACCTAGTGAACATTCTGATGTTGGTCCAAGTATAGTACTGAAATTTAGTGAGGCCATCAAGTCTTTCCAAGTTATGAAGACCTTCCTGACGAGTTTTAGCATAAACAAACAGGCTGTACATGACATTGTTAATATCAAGTGGTTGTTATATTTAATACATAGAAAAGCAGCATCAAAACAAACCAAGGTAGATGAGTTTTTTTAACAAATTGTGAAGTGCTAATGAGCCTCTTTTTATGTTTACAGTATGTACAATTTGTCAGCTTTTTTACACACGTGACATAATATATAATCTTGTAACATGTATGTTTCTATAGAATGAAAAATAGAGATCTCAAGAGACTGAATAATTTCAAATACTGGTATAGGAGTTTAAAAAACTGATATGTTTTTTAAACTCCTATACCTAAAGTTTAAAAATCCCTAAAGTTTAAAAAACTGATATGTTTTTTAAACTTTGTTTAAAAACAAAAGTTTAAAAACCTTGATATGTTTTTGAGTGTACGGAAAATCTGTTGTTTGTGATATAATGAATTCTCATGGACGATCCTGAGAAATCTGTTAAAACAAGATTCTACTTTACAATATTTACAGCTGATCCATACTAAAGTTAAAGTTTTTTTTTAAAGTTTTCTTCTCATCTTTCTTTCACTGTGTATTTATTAAAATTTCTTAATAGTTCAATAAATAGGAAAAATCTCCTTTTATTCTACAATAGTTTTTCTCAAATTTTTCCCAGCTAAGAATTTCCAGTTTTTTAAGTTACCTGTAATATATAAATATTTTTGCAAGTGGGACAATTTAACTATTAATGTTTTACCAAATTCGTAATTGTTTCATAATATTGTGTAATAAGAGAGATTTAAATGATGATAAAACTTTAAAAACATTTTTATTAGAAATTTATTAATTTTTCACAAATTTATATTCTAACTTTTCTGCAGAACAGTGTTTCTTTTATTGCAGAACAGTATTTCTTGGACTGATGATTGACTATATATAGTTTGGAAAGCATTGATCTATAGAGAAAACAAACAAAAAAACAAGTGGCCATAATTTTTTTTATGAGAGTTTTCAATTCACTTTATTATTTTCAAATTTAAATTAAAATACATCTGTCTTTTCTGTATATGACCTTTTTTCCTGTGTTTTCCTTACTTAATTTTTTTTCACATACTGAAAGTGTAAAATAATTACTTATTTTAATTTCTTGATTGATTTTATAATTAAACAAAATGGTTAAACATTTTATATTAAAATTACTTTTATTAATTCAATTTTATATTATGGATTATATATATATTATTTTTTTATAGGTAAATGGATACGATTTTACAATGGTTACACATAAGAAGGCAGTAGAATACATCAAAAAGCATTCTGTTTTAAGTATGCTAGTGGCAAGGAAGGGGGTAACTCATTCCTGAATTTAATAATGAAATTTTCTATAAAATTGCCACTAGCTGGCTAGTGACATTTTTCTGTTCTATTTGTAAATTTTGATTTCTTGTATTTGTGAAATGCTGGCACAATCTCATATTTCATTCCAATCATATTGCAATCAAAAACTTTACTAATAATTAATAAAAATTTTAATTATTGGGACCATCACTTTCTATTGAACAATTTCTGCACTTTAAAATCCCAATTTATATAGAAAGTACAAAGAAATCAAAGCAACTTTGTCTTGTGTTTTATTATCGTGATTGATTTATATAAAATAATTTATACAATTAAGGCAATACTTAAAATGCGATGTTATCTTGTCAAACTATATTTAATTGTGAATATTTATACTATATATACATTGAACTTTATCCATTACAAAGATTATAAGTTTTGGAGTTAAAATTTTTTATTTTATCAGAAACAATGTGAAAATTTACAAATTTTAATGAGTGCCAAGTAAATAGTAAAGATTGATTTTTATTTAGAAGGAAGTGTGTTTATACATCAGAAGCAAATCCTACCTATTTTATTCTTCTGGTGGGTAACTAGTCCTATGTTGGTGATTGTTAATGTTGTTGTTATATAAATCATATTCCATTTTAAGTATAAATGTATCATCAATTTGAATTTGTGGTTTTGCAGAAATTTCATAAGATTATTCTTTTGGATATAAATAAATAAATATTGGTAATAATATAACTGGTGTTATAAATTAAATTAGAAATGCATTTATATCTGGTGTTAACTTTGCTTTAATGTCAATAAATTTACAGTATTAATTAATGTTTGTTTGTATTGAATGAATTTTAATGTACTGTGTATTAAACTTGTCCACTTTGGAACCATAATAAAATTGTTTTGAAATTTAAATTTTAACCAAAAAATGCAATCTTTAATGTATGTAAATAATAATAAAAAATGAGAAAAAGGCCTTATTCAACTATATATAAAAATTGATGAAAGATTTTTATTTTCTAAAGGCGATTTGATTACCTATGTATATTTTTTAGATTACAATACCTATCTAAGCAAATTTGTTAAGATTAATATTCATGCATTCAAGAATTGATCATAAAAATATGATATTTAAGGAAATTAGATGATTGATTCTAACAATCTAATACTTATTTTCAATATCTTCATATTAGTTGCAATTTGTTTTTTTCATTTCATATACATTTTTCTTATAATTTTTGATATTTTTCTTTTACTCAAAGAGTAAGAATATAATAATTGTAGAAGTTACTTCAATTCAAAAGTTGTGAACATGCCTCCATAAAGTGTATTTTTTTTTTCCCATATGTTCTGAAAAATAAATCTAAATGTTAAACTTCAAATGCCAAAACACATCCACTATAATATTACTCTTAATATTTTTGTTGGAATATATATTTTGTACTATTATTTCAGAATTTCTTTTCAAAATTTTTTCATCTAATTATGAATGTGCTATACATAATAAAATTAACTAAACCTCTTATATGATCTCATATAATTTTTTTCAACTATATTTGAATCATAATTGAATACATTGAAAGTTATTATTTAAATTTTATATTTATATAACTTATGATCAAGATTTTAACTTATATTAAGTTGAAACCTGTACTTTGTATTTTCATTTTTAACAAATTGTCACTGCATTTGAATATCAAATGGCAGGTTAGAACTTTTGTTGGCATTATTCCCTGCGAAATCAGCAAAAAGCTTATTGCCTTATATTATCAAGTTTAAGTTGTATGAAGATTAGTAAATGTTTAGTATCTTATATAGTTGTTAAAATGAATATTTACAGAGACTGGGTTTCTTAATAAGTAAATTAAAAACGCAAGATAGTTGGATGGTCATCTTAACGTTTGCACAGTTTAGTAATTTTTCTGAAGTTGCCAAACTATAGGAATAAAATATTCGTATTGATATGGTCATTAAACTGATATAAAAGCTTAATATTTATACATCAAAAAAGCAAATTATCAAATTTAAGAAAAATTGCAAAGTAGATTCAGAATTTACATTTAGATAGCAGAGAATATAATAATTTCGTCATAATCATCATGTAGTTGTTTTGCTAGTTAGTTTTGTTGTTCCATGGAAAACAATTTCTATAGAACAGCAAACCTATCAGAAAACTTTTTTCATTCATAATTAGACATTAGTAATTTTTCTGAAGTTGCCAATGTCTAATTATGAATGAAAAAAGTTTTCTGATAGTTTTGCTGTTCTATAGAAATTGTTTTCCATGGAACAACAAAACTAACTAGCAAAACAACTACATGATGATTATGACGAAATTATTATATTCTCTGCTATCTAAATGTAAATTCTGAATCTACTTTGCAATTTTTCTTAAATTTGATAATTTGCTTTTTTGATGTATAAATATTAAGCTTTTATATCAGTTTAATGACCATATCAATACGAATATTTTATTCCTATAGTTGCATAACTCTATTGACAATTAAAAATTTGGAAGAGAAGATAAGCTCAAATTTTTACGTTTTTACTTTTGATCCATTGGATAATAGTATTATTGATACAGTTTAAGACCTTAACGGTAGAAAAAGCAAAGGAGTTCAGATTCTGTCGATTCATGGAATCGACAGAAGGATTGCGGATGGTAATTGAGAAGTGATGATGCAGCTAAGCACAAGAGCAATGAATTCAATAAGGATAAAGGAACTGAAAATATAAATTAGTGTTACTGCTGTTCTTCATACAGAGAAAATAATCTGATGATTCGAATGAGCCAGCTATAGCCAATAGGAAATTTAGGCCAAAATTACTGTAATTTGATAAGTTTAGATATCTGTAGTATCCAAACAATTTATTATACAATTTTTACGAGGATTGACGCTTAATCATTGTTCTGACAATTTTTTTTCTGGCATTTGTAGNAATGTCTAATTATGAATGAAAAAAGTTTTCTGATAGGTTTGCTGTTCTATAGAAATTGTTTTCCATGGAACAACAAAACTAACTAGCAAAACAACTACATGATGATTATGACGAAATTATTATATTCTCTGCTATCTAAATGTAAATTCTGAATCTACTTTGCAATTTTTCTTAAATTCGATAACTTACTTTTTTGATGTATAAATATTAAGCTTTTATATCAGTTTAATGACCATATCAATACGAATATTTTATTCCTATAGTTGCATAACTCTATTGACAATTAAAAATTTGGAAGAGAAGATAAGCTCAAATTTTTACGTTTTTACTTTTGATCCATTGGATAATAGTATTATTGATACAGTTTAAGACCTTAACGGTAGAAAAAGCAAAGGAGTTCAGATTCTGTCGATTCATGGAATCGACAGAAGGATTGCGGATGGTAATTGAGAAGTGATGATGCAGCTAAGCACAAGAGCAATGAATTCAATAAGGATAAAGGAACTGAAAATATAAATTAGTGTTACTGCTGTTCTTCATACAGAGAAAATAATCTGATGATTCGAATGAGCCAGCTATAGCCAATAGGAAATTTAGGCCAAAATTACTGTAATTTGATAAGTTTAGATATCTGTAGTATCCAAACAATTTATTATACAATTTTTACGAGGATTGACGCTTAATCATTGTTCTGACAATTTTTTTTCTGGCATTTGTAGGAGTACTAGTGAAAAATCTGGTTATTAGAATTTTTCTCCCTTTAATCCATTCTGAGCATAGTGAAGATCCTTGTTTTGTATGAAACAACAATCTTTGGATATTTTTTAAATGCATCTTTTGACTGGGTACAAATAGGGTATTTTTTTTTAACATTTTTATCAAAGAATTTCACACGAATTCAAATTCGGGCTCTTTAGAGTGAAATGTCTTCGCTGTCTGGGCCATCCGGCCGGGATTATAATAGATGTCCATCGCTGACCATTAAATATCATCAATAATGATGCGTCAAAATTTCGGGCATTATTTTAATATAATTTAGATATATTGTATAATTTGCAAATTATACAATATATCTTATTTATTACATATCCATCGATGTAGCTAAAGCATTGGAAATGTAGAAAATCTTGAGAGAACGGTCAGTGCCATTCTAGTTCTGATGGATGATTTTTATACTTTCTATTGAGAAATGTCTGTTTATAAAATCGCAAGATGTGTTGCTTAACAGAGCCATCGAGTGGGAAAAGGAGCTAGAGATTTTTCCCTGGCCCAGAGGAAACTTAGGAGCCCTTAGTGGTTTCTATTGCTACAAAATTAATGTTTTTATTTTCTGTTAATAAAAATATCTTTAAAACTACTTTTTTATTAATAAAGAAACATTCTTTGAACTTTATTTCTCCAAAAAATAGCAAAAGGTGCCTGCTCTACCCCGGACTCCATACAAGCTCTTGATGATGATGAATAATAAATGTTTTAATTTAAAAAAACTTCAGTCTAATAAAGGAGCAACAGATCATTCTTAATAGAACCAGTAGTTTGTTATACTCTTAGTGCTAGGAATGAAATTTATTTAATTATCTAACATACAGAAAGTATTTTATATATCAAATATGAATCTTAATTGATAGCAAAGTATATTATTTAATGTAAAGTATAATTATCATATTTTATTCTTAAGATTTAGCATAACGAATGTAAGACTTCATAAAATTTATTGTATCAGAAATAGAAAATTTCTTAAAATATTTTAGTATAAAAATTTATTAATTTAGTTGATTTTAAATTTGAATCCAAACAATTATTTATAAATAATACTAGAATATCATTAAAGCTTTTAGAAAACTCGATTTTTTCATAAAATACTGAGTTTATATTATTTTATTATATAACACTTTCAGAAATATACAACTTTCGAGAAATGTTTCTTCCATTAATACATTTTACATGGTTCATTGAAAAACTATTCACTCGTAATATGCGTGATTTTTCATTATAAAGCGCATTTGACTTCATGTGAAAGATGCTCTTCATAATGAAAAATCTGTGGAAAAATTAAAATCATAACATTTTTATAATATATGCTTTATTCCACAATAGTATATATAGCGAACTCTGTACTATATATATAATTATAACTTCCAGGAGATTTCTCATCCTTGGCAAAATACAGGAAATGGAATAAAAGCGTGTGAAAACAACACTTTCTTAAAATATCAAGAAATAAGGAAGTTTTAAAATACTATTATATATCGTGTAGAATATTTAATAGTTTGATTAAAACTTTCTGAAAAAAAAGTAAAAACAAAAGTACCTGTTTTTTTTTTTAATATCTTGATGAAAAAACTATTTTACAATAGATTTTGGAATATTAGATTATCAAAGAAATCTGACTATATATTTGTTTTCATTTAATTCTTAAAATATAACTTGAAACAACTTATAAAATCTTACAAATTTAATATCCTTTAAAACACTGTTAACCTCTAAACAACGGTCATTTTTGTTTTTAAAAAGTTCCTGAAAATATGGCTGCTGTTTAGAAATGGCCATTATTGGAGTGGACTGTAATTATATTTTTATGAAGATGAATTTCTCTTATTAAATTTCATTAAAAAAACTTTATATAGAAAGAAGATACTTGGAAATGCTTTTATAACAGAATATTTTCTTTACGGAAGATTTTTCTGTAGAAATATTTACATAGATTTAATGCGTAATGTTTTAAGCTATGATCAAATTAAAATTTTTCTTAATTGAACTATTGAACGATGTTCTAAATTATAAATTTAATATGGAAATTATAAAATTTGTTTTCATTATAATTTCTTGAACTGTGAAATTAAAATTTAATTTAGAATGATATTAATTCTTAAGTTATATTAATTTAAATTATAAACAAGAAAAAATTGCTATATATCTGTACTTTGAGTTTAACTATAGAAAATCGATATACCGTTAAAATAGAATTTAATTTATTATTTTACTCAGACTTTTATATATAAAAAAATTATTTTATCTTAAATTAATTCATGCAAATACATTTTTTAGACATTGAAATGAATCTGAAAACATAAAATAACTACGAAATATTGAAAGATTTTAAAATAATCCTTAAAAATATATACAGTACACAAAATTATAAGTGCAACTTATTCCTTTTAACATTTTGCATTACACTATGCTTGTGTTAAGTTAATATAAGTTATAATAAATTGTTAATAATAATAAAATTATTATTAACAATTTATTAATGAAACAATAATTATTAATGAATTTACCTGAGAGGCTGATAAATTAGTAGGGAGTCGTTTGGAGATCGATGGAGAAATTACTTTTACTACATTTAAATATGTAACAAAATAATAATAGGCTAAATATATCCATTTTTATTATATATATAAATTTATATAAATAAATGTTAATACAATTTTGAATTTTTATTTACTTAATGTTTTTTATGTTTATTCTTATTTGCGATTTATCACGATTTATATGAGACTTATTTTGTATCAGTTTAGAAAAGGTTCGTTCAATTAAATCTATTTTTGAAAAGGGGTGAGAAGCATAAAATAAAAAGGTTGGAAACTCTTGATTTAAACTATATACAGTGGGCAAAGAAAAAGAAACTCGAACACTGGTAAAATTATATGCAGTACTCAGCAATCAAGATATTAGCGTAGCTTGTTGAATCAGCAAGCTAAGCTAATATCTTGATTTTTATATAGTTGGATAGAATTTTTATTGATAGTGATTTTTTTTCTGTTGAGTTTGTTTATATTGACTCGTGCGGATCAAAAGTAATGTGAATTGAATGTTGATTACCTCTAAATTGGACGCAGAAAAATTAATCAGAAATTTTACTTTTTAAGCAGACAAACCTTTATTTACTCATAAGGATACATTCTGATATTTTGTTGGATTTTGCTGGGCCTCTATCACAACACAGTCTTTTTGGCATCGATACTACCAACTTTCTAGTTGTATTTTCTCTGAGGTGGTTCCAGGCTTCCAATAACGCCTCTTTATATCTTCTTGAATATTTTGTTCCCTTGCTGCTTGTCCAAACAGTCAGTGGCGTACCGTGGGTGTCAGCCGCCCGGGGCGGAGGAAAATTTCGCCCCCCTTTATATAAAAGACCAAAATTCAGTTTTTTCACAGAACAATCAATGAAAAATTCGATGGTAGTGCAGCGACCTGTTTAAAATAGTTCTATCGTACAACAAAAAAAAAAGGTCTACAGAACGATAGTACTATCGTAGGCGCGATGCAAGTATAGATTAGGATGTTTCAAATTTTTACAAGATATTATTATTATTTATTGTGAAATTTTGCCGACCCCTAAAAGGTAATTTTGCCGCCCCCTAAAAAGTGCCGCACCCACTACGGTACGCCACTGCAAACAGTCCATAAATGATCAATAGGATTCGAGTTAGGACTCCGGGCAGGTCATTCCAGAATGTTGACTTGATTTTTAACAAAAACAAATCCTTTGCAATGCTAGAAGGGTTGTCATCTTGCTGAAAGATGAAGTCATCTCCCAATCCCACATTTTACTATAGAAATGAAGACATATTTGTTAAGAATCTGACAATATACTTGAGCGTTCATAATACTGTCGGTAAATTCAAGTTTTTCAATACTATTGGAACTATGAAGTCTAAACCGTAATGTTACCACTACCATATTTGACGGTACCACCCATGTATGCCGGCTGGAACTCTTTCCCTCCTTCCTCCAAACTTTCTGGGGCCACCTGAGCATAGATTCAATTTGGATTCGTCAGACCATAAAATTTTCTCAGAGAAAGCATTAGCATTGTTTACATACTATTTTTGTAAATGCCAATCGACTCGTCATGTGATGCTTCTCAAGAAAGTTTTCTTCCTTGCTATGTGCTCCCCAAATCCAGCTTCGTGAATGTGATTTTGAATTGTTTGACGATTCGCCTTTATTCCGAGCACCTCTTTCAGGTCAATTGCCAATTATGGGCAGGTAATTATCGATTTTTCTCACCCAAACGATGACTCAATCATGGATGCTTAGCAGTCGTCCGTTTTCGGCCGCACCCAGGCAAATTGATGACTGAACCAGTCATTTATGTTTTTTAACAATAGAGAAAATGAGTGAATGCGAAATTCTCGTTAATTTTTCGATATGACGGTAGGAATGACTGGTCGAATGAACGTCTATGACTAAGTTTCGTTGATCAATGTTAACCTGTGATTTTTTTGAATGACATACTGGAGTAGAAAGTAAATCTGGAAAATCATAAATTTTATATACAAAAAATATAACTCAATTCACTTACGCGAATCTTACGGTTTTTTTTTTTTAAATTACCTGATTGGGAAGTGTTCAATTAATTCTTTTATACTCAAATTTGACGATATAAACTTTCAACAAGCCTTAAAACTTATCGCAAACACTAATATAATACAACAATAGGTGAAATTAACGAGCCTGTACGTAATCTTGTATAAATTTACATCAAACTGAGTAGACATGTGCAGTTTTACAAGTGTCTGGTTATTTTTTTGTTGTCTACTGTATATAAACAGTTGTTTAATATCTGCACGATTAATCATATACAGAGAACTAATTTTCCTATAATAAAGCAAGATGTACAAAAATATTTATTTGATGTGCTTTTATTTTGGAATATATTCTTAGTCTTGATATGAAGTTTTATTGAAAAGTTTTATGCCTATCTGGGTAATGTATTTTGCTGGCACNTTATTTCTATTAGTTATATTAAGGTCTATGAGACTTATGGAGGAAATGTTAAAAATAATTAATATATATAATATCAAATTAACTTTCTGGACTAATTTTTCGAACTCAGTAGAACAGTAGACTTAGTTTTTTACTTATTAAAATAATTATTTGTAAAATAAGTTGATACGTTCATATTATTAAAATTTATTACTAGAAAACAAATGTAATGCGTTATAATTATTGAAAAAGCATTAATTATCTATTTTAGTAATTTACAACTTCATGTATTTTGGTTACATTGTAAGCTATTAAAGATCACGTTCCGTTAAACTGCTTTTACAACGTTAATTGTTCCGAAATCAAAGTTTAATTTATATAATTTGCCACTCTCAGATAAAAAAAATTTATGCTTAAATAAACTAAAAAAAAATTTATTAAATTTATTTATTATATTAACCGATTATAAATCAAATTTACGATTTGATTCTTATAATATAAAAAATTAAACCTGCTTCTATTTTTCCCTTACTAAAAAGGTTAATGTTTTGTATAAATAAAATTAAACTAATTAAGCCACATTAATTAGTTTTTTTTGTATAAATAAAATGAGAATTTTAAAGGAAATTAAGTACTTTTTTTTAATATTTAAAGTATAATTTGATTATATTTTACGTATTGAAGATACACAAATAACTAACGAATTAAAGAAAGAATATTAAGCAACTAAATGACGACTACAAAGAATAAATGGTGATCTGGAAATTTTTTTTTTGGCAGTACAAACGTTCAAATAACGTCGGGTAAACTTTCAATAAAATTTCAAAAGGTAGGGTGGATACCGAATAAAATTTCATTGTTATCAACACGCATGAACTGGTCTGCATAACGTACGAACGCTCATCTTTTAACCTGTCCTCCCCGTTAACGGTAATGAACTACTCGAAACTTCCGTTTTACCTGTCCATTGCATCTGGTGAATCATTTGTACTTGGGGATCAAACCTTATTTAGTGGATCCGCGTGTCCTTGCTGATCGCGTGTCCTTGTAAGGGAAGTACGCAATTGGATATGAACGGTAAAGCACTGGCATCGATCGGATAACGTGTAGACAGGTAAGAAATTATACAATATAAACTTTACAAAACTATTCGTATCTTAATTTCGATGCATTAGAGAAGTTCTATATAGCATTATTTATTAATTTACATATCAAAGGCATTATGGTAAATTATCCGTTTTTAATGATGCTTAATAAGGATCGAAGTACGATCATCGTAATTATACTAAAATTGTACTTTTTATTTTAATTAATTTAAAAGCTACTAAATTTTTATTATAATTAGTACAAATTTACTTATTATCTAAAAGTAAAAACGTATTTAATAGTATAAAAATTCGATCGAATTTGCATTTTTTCACAGTAAAAAAGGGGTATAATTAGGCAAAATTTTGAATTCGGATAATAAAATAAAATTCGTATTGAATACTTTGCTTTTCGGTCTTTTAAAACTGATTTTTATGCAATGTACTGTACTTAAATACACAATATAATTTTGCGCAAATCATAAATTTACGCAAAGTCGTCTTTTTTTTTAAAATACGTTCCTCTCTTTTCTAATATTTAAATAGTCTATCCTTATGCACATCCGTCTTGTACATAGTGTACAGTGTGCATTCAGCAAACATTTCTCTAAGATAACAACACGCGATTTATCCATTTAGTTTCGTGTTGTGTATATCAAGGCATCTCGTTGTTTGGGCAAACTAATAAGCGGTTCGAAAGTTTAGCGTTGTGCGTGTTATGTCCCTCGTGCAATTTTAAAACAAAAATCTCGTGATTTAATCTCTATAAGGAGGAATTCGGTACAATGAACTTGTTATATCTTCATAAACTGGTCTCTGATTAATTAATTAAATCACAAAAAAAAGTTTTGATTATTATTTTAATACGTTACGAATTTACGCGGTGACACTTCCGTCATTTATAGAATATTATATATAATTTTTTTTCTTTTTATAATTACGTATATATCTAATATGCGCGCGTAATAAATACAGACACTGGCCTCGAGCAATGTTAATGATGACGTTAAATATTCTTGTGGAAGAGAATAATAAAAGTTTTACTCGTGTAACATAATGGATGAAAGAATAACGAAAATGAAAAGAAAGATCGATTGTAATGTTGAGGAAGTAGTGATTGACGCACGAATCTTTTAGTTTGGAGCATTGAAACGCATCTCTAACCATTTATGCATTCAGAATGATGCGCTGTTGCATTAATACCATAGAAAATGTGAAAGTCACGACATCGATGCACTTTCTACGTCAACGAAAAAACGAAATACTTTAGTTAAATGTAGAGAAATGAAGAATATATTGTTATTAGATAAGAAAAATATACTGTATGCAATTTATAAATGACGTATTTTCAAATTTACAAGTTTTCTGTAAAATTTTATATAATTTTTTTGAATTTCTATCGTAATGTAATTCTAGAAAAAGAAAAGTTGTTTAGAGCTTCTATGAGATTTTTGTTAGGCTATTGTTTGCAAATTATTATCTTATAAATATGCATCAGAATGTTTTAAATAAACTCATTTTATTATTTTTAGTGACAATAAAATAGCTTCTGTAAAACTTGTAATATTTTTTTAATAAACTTTGTTATAAAATATACGATGAATTAAATTAATATATTATTATAAATTAATAATTTACTGAATATAATTAGATTTTGGGCTTAAAATTATATATATATATAATCGAATTATTTAATTGAAAATTAATGTTAAGTATCCAGTTTCATAACGCATTCTTATTAATATTAATTAGAATTTTTCAAATAATTTAATGGAATTTCTAACATAAAAAATTGGAATTTAGTTTTGAAAAATTAACTGTGAACTACATTTAACTTTTTTTTGTTTTTTTTTAAATATCGAATACACTGACTATTGCATAAAATTGAGGAACAAGCCACATCCATTGGAATTTGTGACCTTACAAGTATATTTTGATGTGTGAAAAAGAGCGTAAACTCGTTATTGTGGATAACAAATATTTTAAACGTGATCTGATTTAAAAAAAAAAAATTAATTCTTGAAAATATATTTTAAAGTTTTTACAAATTATTAGATTAAAAAAATCTCTCTGTTCTGTAAAATTTAAATTCTCCTCGAGATTTTATCCTGTTTTACAGCAGAATCTCATTGAACAATAAAATAAATTTTATCTGGAATTTTTGTAATATTTTTCTTTTATATTATTTCTTTACGAACAACAATTTTATAAGATTACTGTATATAAAAACTGTCGTAAAAATTTGTTTTATGTTTCTCCAACTGTACATAAACATTTAAGACTGTTATAAAATAGTCTTTATCCTCAGGCATTAATCTTCGACTAAATTATTTTTAACAGTTAAACCTGACCTTCATCTTGGAAACTATTTTAATATATATCTATATATATATTTTTTCTGTTATAAAATATTATTACTTTATTCGAATTTAACTACCGAATCGAAATGCGAATAGGTTTTTTTTTTCTTTTTTTTTTAAAAAAAAAATAAATACATACATAAGTTTGTATAGTGCTATAATTTCAACGAGGTTATTGGCAATTCTTGACACGAAATGCGTGCATGCAAAGTGTGGAGCAACACCGGAAGTAAAAGGCCAGACTCGCATCACGCGTTTCGTGATCCTCTAGTGTCGTCATATGTCTCTTTCCGTGGGAAATATTTAACTTTCCGTTATGCGAAAGAATTAGAAATTCTCGCAGCGTAATTAATTTTAGTCGAATGAAATATATTTAAAAAATTTAATTTTAAAATATTCACTTCCTGCTCGACACGATATCGGACCTGAATAAAGACTAGTTTTTTTTCTGGAGTTTGTATTCGGCGTTTGATTGGTCGTCGTCACTCTCGGATCTTCATGTTGGAAAGTTTCTCGATGTAACGTTAATAAACACGTGCGGTCAAGCACGTGGAACTGATGGCCAAACAAATATGTTGTTTCGGCAGTGTTGGAGCTAGTTTCAAGGCAAACGTCTTTACAGTTCGACGAACGGGAAGAGTGACCTGAGGGTAGGTCAATGCGAGGTAAGGGAGGATCCGCTTAGTTTTTTTTTTTTGTGTTTTACCTGTTTCCCAAGTCTTATTGGCTCGTTTCTTATTGTCTGTGACGATGGCGAATTGTCACGGATTGTTGTCATCCACGTCTTTTACAGGTCGGTAGTAGTTGGGTCTTGGTGTCACTCGGTTTTTATGATCTTAAAACAGGGGATATGAGGTAAGAGCTTGCGGGTGTCAAGGATGCGAAATTTATTTTTAACGTAATCTGAATCGAGGAAATCAACTTTTGTATGATGATAAATCTTCAGCATCTGTTTTAATTGTAAACAATAAAAGTTTAAATGTATTAATTATCCTTTAGAAGATGATCCATCAAGTCACTCACTTTAACAATACAAATTTAAAAAAAAGAAGAGGAAATCTCTTTTGCATTTGTCAATAAAAAATAATAATTATTATATTAATAATTTAAATTTTTTAAGGTTGTACTTATGGAATTTCAGCTTTTTTTATTTTCCCATTCTATATATTCGGTCAAGCGTTTTATATGTATTTAAAAAATTAATATAGATATTAGATAAAGTTTGCGCCGGTCATAATGTATGATAGCAATATCTGCGAATCTAAATGGAAACAATGTTGATATTCTAGATATTCAGACAATTATGATTAATAATGAATGATATCACGAATCCTTTCTTCGAATTATAAAATAACTGTTTCATTTTACTGTATTACATTATATTAAAAAAAAAATAGTGTAAGATCTGCAATTTAGATACGCGAAAATCCATCAGTTTCTAATTGTAAACTAAGCTAATTGAAACAATATACTGTACATAACAAATAACTATTGCTGGAAGAAAGATAGTGTGTTTCTGAATGTCCTTTGCTAGTTTCATTTAGAAATATTACCATTATAATATTTTAACTGATTCTTTGAAGAAAGTTAAATATATGTACAGTACAATATACTATATTTTCTATTCTTTATTCCCTGTATAGGAACAACAGATAGTAAATAAATGTATTATTTATTTATTTAAGCTCTTCATTGTTTAAATATATTTTTGATTTATCGAGTTTCTTTTATTGAAGTACGGTATATTTTAAACAATAATTACTTAAAGGTAATGTATTCGTTATTATCTGTTGTTTCTACACAGAGAATAAGTGTAATAAGGAAACGATTACAGAAAAACTATTAAGTTTATAATAATTTGATCAGAGTCGAGTAGTTTAATCATTTCATTCTTTTTCTCAAGGAGTTTAAAATAGTCGATAGAAAACAATAAGCTCTTTGCTTATTGTGAAAACTTGATGATAAACAAAGCATGAAATGAAATATTAACCTTTAAGAAAATTAATATTTAAAATATAAAAAGAATGGTAACTATCGTATATACTATATAGGTTAACTGTAATAACACGTAAAAGTTTTTTTTAAACGATGACAAAATATAACCTAACATGCATTTCCTCCATAATCCTATTGTAATTTATATTATAGGTCTATTGTAGGATGGGAATGTGGGATGAGTGGGGATCTCGTTTCGTATAGAACATTTACAAAACAATGATTAACTAATAATATAAAGTTTTGGTAATGGTTAATTAAACTGATAAATCAACGTAGCATTTCGTTTATGCATATAAGGGCGTTTTTGATGTGACACTAGCTCGTCGGCGTGCCACCAAAAATTGTATACGCTCCAGTAACTCAAAAGGGGTGAACCGTTGGTCTAAATTATACAACTATAAGTTAGTATGGAGTTAGGAACCTGCGACTTCTAGTGAGTCCTGTTAAAATATAATATACTTTTATTGTCAGATATTTTTATTGATTATTATAATAGGTTGTCTTCTTAATGTTCACAGGATGGAGAGTCAAAAATGGGGTAAATATATACTGTTTTTGCATGTATATAGAAAGTATGAACTCAGCAACTTGTAATATAATACACAACCCTTTTAAATGAGATGTGGTTCTCTGACTCCTGCTTCAGAATATAAAAATAATCGAACACCTTG